AAGAAGCTGTTTAAAGGTTTTAAACATATTTGACCCATGTGACCTTGAATATAAAGAAAGGTCATTCATTTGAACAAACTTGGTAGCTCTTCACATCAGCATGTTACTGGCCAAATATCATTATTCTATAGGCCTCTTGGTTATTCAGTAGAAGTTGTTTAAAGTTTTCAACATATATGACCCCTGTGACCTTGAATATAAGTCAAGGTCATTCATTTGAACAAACTTGGTAGCCCTTCATCACAGCATGCTATTGGCCAAATATCATTATACTAGGCCTTTTGGTTTTTGAGAAGAAGTTGTTGAAAGGTTTTAAACATGTTTGCACCCTGTGACCTTGAATACAAGTAAAGGTCATTAATTTGAATAAACTTGTAGCCCTTCATCCCAGCATGCTACTGGCCAAATATCATCACCCTGGGCATTTTGGTTATTCAAAAGTTGTTAAAAGTTTTTAACATATTTGACCCCTGTGACCTTGAAAATAGGTGAAGGTCATTTATTTGAACAAACTTTGTAGTTCTTCATCCCAGTTTGCTTCTGGCCAAATATCATCACGCTAGGCCTTTTGGTTATCAAGAAGAAGTTGTTTAAAGTAAAATATTGACGCTGGTCGACGGCCAACGGCTGCCACAACATGGCATAAGCTCACTTGGCCCTTTGGGCCAGGCGAGCTATAAACCACTGGTGTTATATTAATATGTTTTATATGCAAATAACTTGATTAAATGTCCCCAGTATGCAACTCTGTCCAGACAGTGTCAGTCAATCAGAAAATTGATGAAGTGCCTGATACCTGCATGTGTTCAGGGATTTGTACTTGGCAGTAACACTTTTGATAGGGCTTGGGGTATAATTGGTAGCAGTAACTGGTTTTTTTTTTAAGATCTAACAGTAATGTGTTGTCTGTTTTTTTGAATGCAACTATACAGAATCATTTTGGGGGGGGGGGGGGGGGGGAATGCAGTATTCCCCCCCCCCAAAAAAAGAAAGAACTGTGTACTAAGCGTTCCAAGATATTATACCAACACAAATACCAGTATTTAACATAAATGCATACTTAATTCGTTTCTTTTTCTTTTTCCAGTCTCCAACTTGGCAGTCAGATTTCCAAATGTTGTTAAAGGAAGATGAGAGAGAGAAACCTATATACAAAGTCTGATGCGAATTTATAAAACAGTGGCTGAGTTGTGTTTTGGAATCAACTTTTGTTTAGTATATGAGGTCAAGGTCTAAGATCAAATTGAAGTCAATAGGATGCATCACACCACCTTCCCATGATGTACTTATATACAAAGATTGATGCCGATTCATAAAACAGTGTCTGAGATATGCTCAGGAAACCATTATTTGAGTACTTAAGATTAAAATCTAGGTAAAATTGAGGTCACAATGACCTTGTTTAAGGATGCAACACATCACCTTCCCGTGATTTACATGTACATGTACCTATATACAAAGTATGATGCCACTTCATGAAACAGCTGCTGAGATATGCAATCAGCAAGGTCGGACGGACACACGGACAAAGCAAATACTATATATTTACCTGATTCTGTCCATTTTTGAAACATTCAATATTTATCTGTATTGTTTTAAGATTCAGTATTACCATTAATTAAGAATGTGATTTACACACTATTCAAGTTAAGTTTTAGATATAGTTTTAGATATGAGATGAAAAATGGCTGCTCCAGGGGAGCCTCAAGACTCGGTCATGATATCCTTTGTGTGTACATGTGTTTTTATGTTCAGTTGTTGAAATTTATAAAATTACATATAACTTCATAAGATCCCAGAAAATGAGAAATTATAGACTACATACATTGTATCTAACATCTCAGTTTTATTATTTCTTTATTGCACTTTTCTTTTTTTGAAATTAGGTTGTTGGATTACTGTGATTTTGTTTCACTTCTAATATGACTGCTGAAGACTGGTCTAAACAATTGTGGTTTTAAAAAAGGGAGGCTACTCCTACACAGCAGTCAACTACATATTAATTAAATGATTCTGTGACAATTAAGTGTTTATAAACTAAAATTGTCCTAAAGGGCTTAATAGTCACACGGTATCAACTGCTCCGTCTATTTCAATTTGTACTGTTTTGGGATCAAGTATTTGCAGACAGCTCTTCGTTATTCAACAATAACAGATCCGAGTCATTACTTGTTTTCATCGTTAACACTCCAGAAATGTAATGAATGTGGTGAACATCACTGATGACAACACAATGGTGGTATTTTAAGGTAAAAATAACACCTTAAGTCAATATAAGGATTTGTTTAGTTGCAGAAGTATACGATATATTGAGCTATCAGGAAACTCACATTGGTTATGTACATGCTCATTGAAGACTCTTCAGTCTTTACCACGAACAAAGAAAAGACATTGAGACAGATCGTCTTATATTGGGGTCTGTTATTTCACAGACAGTAAATCATGAAATGTTAGATATTATAATATAATAATAATAGTACTGGACGCGGCAGTATGCCTATATATCCAGATTAACTATGCTGACATCCCAACGACAGATAAGTTCATTATTGTCAATTTCAGGATTATAAAGACTTTCTGTTTGTCCCCAGTACTTATCCAGCTGAGCTTCAAAAGATATTGGTTTATTTGTTGGATTTCGTTCAAACAGGTAATGATTTGTAAAGATGAGATATGAACCAGTGGAATCTTCCAAAGGTACACAAGTATAACAACTTTGGTGAATGCCGGGGAAAAAGCAATACATTTTTAAGTTATGCTCTGAACAAATTTCATATCAGAAAATGAATATGTGTATTTTGGGGTGTCAGACCCCTCATCAGTAAACTTTGCCTTCCAGAAGTTTCATGCTTGCCAACTTTTTGTGAAAAGACTTGAATTTATTTGCCATTTCTGTTATAAACATCATATTGGTTAATTGGGGCTATCTTTCTTGATGTAGATTTTTTCAATGCGCATGGGTAGATGCCCTACCATAGCAATGAACTGTTCGTTGCTATGCAGAAATAGCCAAAATATGGTGTTTTTGGACAGTGATCATGCAGAAATGAAAGCCTCCGCATGTGACAAACAAAAATTCCTTTCTATGAATAAACACTGGTATGACAATGTTTAAGCATGTCAAATATTTATTTGTTTGTTGCATGCGGAGGCTTTCAAAAATTGAAGAGCAGTTAGTTAATTTCCTTCTAAATGGCCAATTTTCAACCAAAAAGTGCACAACAGACGATATTTACGTATTTTATAATGAAATGCTCGTTGATGTCTCTCCTTGTAATGTCATATCTCCTAAACCAGTTGTTGAATGAATATGAAATTTCATATTTGCGTACTTCATTTATTCCAGATTATGAATATAAACAACTATTCCTAAATCACCGATGAGGCCAGAAATAACCCTTAATGCCCCTGGTCCTTTTCGTGGGGGAATTTATGCATGCTAGGAATTGAAAGCATAAATAAAATGTGTGTATGTAAAATCGAGGGCAAAACATTAAACTTTTAAAGTGCATCTTTTGAGTTGTTCTTTCAGATGAATCATAAGATATTAGAAAATAGGAAAAGGTTAGCAAATTCACTGGCTGAAAATACTAAATGTACGGTACAAAATTGGGAAACTTCAAAAAAGGGAGAGTTGGCAAGCATTAGTTTCTAAAGTAAAGAAAGGTTAGTGAACAAAGGGACATTTATAAATTGGGACGCGAGACTCGACTTCTGTATGTAATACTCAGCCTTTCAGAGATGCACAATTACAGCAAATTTGGTGAATATAGGTAAAATTCAAACAATACGATGTTGAGAGCCAGCCAAAAAAGCCTCCACCAAAACAAAGTCCATCATAGAAAGGCGTATAACAATAGGCCCAGTGTGCTAGTATTGTTCCCCTGGATATTTAAGCAATCATGGAAAATAATCTCATTAAAGGAATTTTGCAAATATTTGCACATATTGAGTCTCTTTGGGTTAAGGAGGTGCCAGACTAAAAGGATGAGATCATTTTAAAATAATCTGCACTGAAGGAGGAATTTTAAGATTTTTCTCTGGTAACCTCTATTGAGCCCCATCCTGCTACATTTTGGGGAGCCAGACCCTCCATTTTTACAATGTTGAGTCCTCTTGATCCAAGGATATTTCATACTAAATTTGGTAAAAAAAGGTCATCGAAAGTCATTTCTTTGAATGAATTCTTCTTTATTAAGAAGTTGTTTACATAGATTTTTACACTTTTGATCCCTGTGTCTTTTAAAGTAGGTCTAGGTCATTTACTGGATAAAACTTTATACTATTCTATCCCAGCATGCTATTGGTCAAATATCCTCACACAGGCCCTCCTTGTTATTCAGAAGGAGTTGTTTGCAGATTTTCAATGCATTTGACACTTGTGATCTTGAAAGTAGGTCACAGTAAATTATTTGAGGCTATTTTACAACACTCCATGCTAGTTACCTATTCCATCTTTGCGTATTGCAGAGTTATCTTCTCTTGGGAGCAGGTATTGATTGTTACGTCACTTGTTTTTGAGAGTAACGTCATCAAATTTTGAGAAAACGCCGTCATTTTCTCACACAAACCAATGACGTAACAATCAATACCTGCTCCAAAGAGAAGATAACTCTGCAATACGCAAAGATGGAATACTGGCCAAGTAACATCACTCTGTGCCTCCTTGAAATTCAGAAGAAGTTCCTTAAAGGTTTTAACATATTTGACCCATGTGACCTTGAAAGTAGGTGAAGGTCATATATTTGAGGAAAATTATAGCACTCCATCCCAGGTTCCTATACCAGCCAAATATCATGATCCTAGGATTCTCAAATTCATAAGAAGAAGTTGTTTAAAGAAATAGTTGACGGATGACGGACAACACAAGTACACCATACCATAAGCTTACTTTGTGTATAAAGGTGACCCAAAAAGTACCCAAGTAAATCTATACATGTTTTATCCCATTTAAGAGTTCCTCAACAAATACCAGGTTTAAGACAAATGAACTTCCTTACCTTTGTAGAGGTAGTATCTCTGTCTACAGTGAAAAATCCTACACGTTCAAACTGGAATCTGTCATAAAGTTTAGCATTCTTCACCGAAACATCCACATAAGCATTAGGTATAACCTGCATAGAATTCTGAAAAGAAGAAAATACAATGTAATACATTTAGTTTAGATATAATACATGAACTTTGCTAGTATAGAGCAAACAAAATAAGTTTACTTGTCCCTGTTTCAAAATCATCTTCAAATTCAAAATCCTAGCTGTTTGTCAGTCAACACAATACAGTAGTGCTCTTCTTGATCTTTCTCCAAATCTGACTGAGTTGTGTTCCCTTTTATCAGACAAACGTGTTCTATTAAATACTTTAATGTGTGGAAATCAACTTTGTTTTATCCCATCTGTAAACTTTGAGACATAAATGAATTTTCTTTCTTAGTATAAGCATAATGTTTTCAAACAATAAATATTGAAGAAGACATTACCTTGTTGATATCAGTTAAAAATCCACCAGGAACAACATTCTTATCCTCAGGATGTTTATGGTGAAATCTGCAAAAAGATTTATATGTAATCACTTCGTACTATAGTAAATGATGGTTCAAGGGAAGTAACTCCATGCAAAATACAAATACAGTAAAAAAAATATTATCAAACATCGTTTTACACATATCTCAGGTCTTGCTTTAATAGTAAATACTTTAAATGCTTGAACCAAAATTTTCATCATAACAGTGCTCTCAATTGGCATTTTTTCCTCACTTAGTCCTTTGGGAAAAAAAGTTTCAAAAACAAAAGCTTTCACAATGGAATTGAATCACTTTCAATCAAGTTTCAACAATTTCCCAATTTGTTATCTTTTTGTTTTTTAATTGTTTTCTGGAAAAATACTGTTGATTTTTTATGACTTTTTAGCCATGATGCTGTCATATAACACAAAATTATCAATATATGATAAGGAGATATAGAATTTACTAGCAAAACTTACAGAATCTCATACAAGCGGACTTCACAAACAAGGGGTTCACACACCCAGTGGATGAAACCTTTAGGCTTGTCCGTCTCCGCTGACCGTTTACAAGAAGCTAATAACTCACAAACATTTCCGTCATCATCCTAGAATAAAATAAAAATAATAATGATAATTTGAGGTTCTTATATACCGCTTTATCAAAACCTGGTTCGTATGTTGTCTCAAAGCGATTCACAAATTATTATCTGTTGTTAAATAAAACATACATATCTGTATGATTTGTATAAGTAATTATATGCCAATGTACATGATGGTGGGAGGAGATACTATATTACTTCATCAATCTATACTGCTTTGAAAACAAATGTCCAAAGTCAACAACCAGATTAGTGGTGGCTATACAGTGGGACAACAGGATTAGTGGTGGCTATATAGTGGGGCAACAGGATTAGTGGTGGCTATATAGTGTGACACCAGGATTAGTGGTGGCTATATAGTGTGACACCAGGATTAGTGGTGGCTATATAGTGTGACACCAGGATTAGTGGTGGCTATATAGTGGAACAACAGGATTAGTGGTGGCTATATAGTGGGAAAACAGGATTAGTGGTGGCTATATTAGTTGGACAACTGGATTAGTGGTGGCTATATAGTGGGAAAACAGGATTAGTGGTGGCTATATTAGTTGGACAACTGGATTAGTGGTGGCTATATAGTGGGAAAACAGGATTAGTGGTGGCTATATAGTGGAACAACAGGATTAGTGGTGGCTATATAGTGTGACACCAGGATTAGTGGTGGCTATATAGTGTGACACCAGGATTAGTGGTGGCTATATAGTGTGACACCAGGATTAGTGGTGGCTATATAGTGTGACACCAGGATTAGTGGTGGCTATATAGTGTGACACCAGGATTAGTGGTGGCTATATAGTGTGACACCAGGATTAGTGGTGGCTATATAGTGTGACACCAGGATTAGTGGTGGCTATATAGTGGGAAAACAGGATTAGTGGTGGCTATATAGTGTGACACCAGGATTAGTGGTGGCTATATAGTGGAACAACAGGATTAGTGGTGGCTATATTAGTTGGACAACTGGATTAGTGGTGGCTATATAGTGGGAAAACAGGATTAGTGGTGGCTATATAGTGGGAAAACAGGATTAGTGGTGGCTATATAGTGTGACACCAGGATTAGTGGTGGCTATATAGTGTGACACCAGGATTAGTGGTGGCTATATAGTGTGACACCAGGATTAGTGGTGGCTATATAGTGTGACACCAGGATTAGTGGTGGCTATATAGTGGAACAACAGGATTAGTGGTGGCTATATAGTGGAACAACAGGATTAGTGGTGGCTATATAGTGGGAAAACAGGATTAGTGGTGGCTATATAGTGTGACACCAGGATTAGTGGTGGCTATATAGTGGGGCAACAGGATTAGTGGTGGCTATATAGTGGGGCAACAGGATTAGTGGTGGCTATATAGTGGGAAAACAGGATTAGTGGTGGCTATATAGTGGGAAAACAGGATTAGTGGTGGCTATATAGTCGGACAACAGGATTAGTGGTGGCTATATAGTGTGACACCAGGATTAGTGGTGGCTATATAGTGTGACACCAGGATTAGTGGTGGCTATATAGTGTGACACCAGGATTAGTGGTGGCTATATAGTGTGACAACAGGATTAGTGGTTGCTATATAGTGGCACAACAGGATTAGTGGTGGCTATATAGTGGAACTGGGATAACCCCATTAATGGCGGCCGAGATAGTGGGACAACTTGAATAGTGGTGGCTTGATACTGGAACAACCAGATTAGTGATGTCTGTATGGTAGGACGATCTGATTAGCGGTGGCTGACATAGTGGGACAACTCGATTAATAGCAGCTGAGATAGTAAGACAACTTGAATAGTGGTGGCATGATAGTGGAACAACCACTGGATAGTTGGACAGTCTGATCAGTGGTGACTGGCATAGTGGGATAACTGGATAAATGGTAGCTGGACGTTGAGACAACCTGATTAGTAAATCATTTTAATTGATATTTATTATCCTTATATAATTATACTCGTTATACGAATTAAACCAGTTTTCTATCTTCAGTTCTCACCTTTATCACTTTTTCTACTGTTATAACATAGCCAGTGTGACGAAGTCCTACTGGCTGGTCAGTGGACAATCTTTTGTAGTTCTTGTCAGATTTCTGAAACATATAATTCAAAATATACTCACAAAATACAAATATTGAACGCTGTTCCTTAATTAACTGTAGGGGAGAGGAGGGAGGTATTTTTTCAGGGATCCCATCATCTATAAAATCTTAAAAGAGATTAAATATAAGGAATGGTAGACAGATCTGGTCTTAACCCCACCACCCATAATATACAAATAAAGGTGCCTCCCATGTTTAACGATTTACTGATAAGTAATGGAACAGCCCTAATATAATCCACAAATAAACTCTTTTACAAATATATTTTTTTCACAAATATCAGTTTCATAAAAACAGTCTTCCTTTCTTTGAAGTTTCTCCCTTGATAGACACAGTCTTCCTTTCTTTGAAGTTGTCTCCCTTGATAGACACAGTCTTCCTTTCTTTGAAGTTGTCTCCCTTGATAGACACAGTCTTCCTTTCTTTGAAGTTGTCTCCCTTGATAGACACAGTCTTCCTTTCTTTGAAGTTGTCTCCCTTGATAGACACAGTCTTCCTTTCTTTGAAGTTGTCTCCCTTGATAGACACAGTCTTCCTTTCTTTGAAGTTGTCTCCCTTGATAGACACAGTCTTCCTTTCTTTGAAGTTGTCTCCCTTGATAGACACAGCTTACCTCTCTAAAGTCGTCCCTCTCTATAAACACTGTGGCTGTGAAGGGAACCCTGTGTGAGCCCTTCGCTTCATTGGCTGGGAAGTTGGGGACGTTAACATCATTAGGGGCATCACCGAAATTTGTTATCGTCACCTTGAGTGGGTCTAATACTGCCATAGCTCTGTAACAAGTTATTTATAAGTCCAGAAAACGGTTAACCAGAAATACACAATAATGTATAATGTACGTTGAAAGAAATGCACATTATACTTTTGGTATCAGGTATTTTTACAACACAATGCATTAAGTTCCAAAGTTTTAGTCCAGACAAGCATTGCCAGTGATTTCACTTTTGAACATCTGCTATAAAATTGACTGTATGCTAACAAACCTCTCTTAGCTACACATTTCTATAAAGTTATTGGTTCAGAGATTAAGTTATGATCAGGAAAAGGCAGGTGTATAGAAAAAAATAACGTAAGTACACACGTTACAATCTCATGCTTACATTCATGTCACTACAAAGCACTGCATGTTAGCTATTTTTGAAAGCTAATATGCCAAATGAACGGTTCAAAGATGTATTAAACTAAATCCACACAAATTTTTGTCTGTCTTCTCACATAAACAAAATCCTCTAGTCTGAAGTCACCTGACCCATCACGTCATCTCTCATGTGACCCCTCAGCATGGTTGATTTGAAGAAATAGGTGTTATCACCTTCATTGTTAACGGAACAATTAAGATATAATTATGATGGTTCTAAACGTTTCTCACAACATTGCTAATTCAACTCATGTTACGTAATATGATGTTATGTATTGGACACGAAAAATGATTACATTAGCAATAAGGATGTACTGTGGCAATTTGATGTTAAGCGTTATGTGGTAAACACATAAAATGGCCTGAAATCAAATTAGGTGTGGACGTCGTTAAGAATTGCTCACCTGGGGGCGGACACATTGAGCACCTCTCGGACACATGCCTCCAACATGGACGGATGGAGTATTGTTTGGGACATGGTCACTCCCACCTGTCAAGAACAACACAGTTTCCTTCATCAGCAATACAACAAAGGGAATTGAGGATTGTTACAAAAACTCCTACATAAAAGAAGTGAGGAACCTTATAGATACACCTCAAACTTTAGAATTTGAAGTGTTACAAGACCAGTGGAGATTTTGAGTATTAAGTGGATGGCCTTCACCCCTCCTGGTTGTAGCTCTAAAGTACATTTACCTACCTGTTTGGTTAAAATACTTTTTTATACCTTTATTTTCATCTAAAAATATTGTGAGTGGTTGCATAAAAATACAACAATATATCCGATCTTCTTTCAATTAAAATATTTGAAATTATGCTATTACACCTGTTATTTATCATAATTTAATATTAAAAGGTTTCTCCCCTATCAAAAGTAATAACAATACTAGACATTAAAATTTGTAAAAAATATCACTTTATATCATATTAAAACAAAGACACCTAATTAGAGTTCACGCCATCTTCACACATATACATGTTTCCCCTATAATAAGTCATACCTTGCCACAGAAGTAGTTGATGGCCTCGGGTGGGAATCCTCTCCTCCTCAGAGCAGTCAGAGTAAACAGGCGAGGATCATCCCAGTCCCTGTACAATGTTACAACAACACTTTCTGTTAATAACTGTATAAATTTAGCTGGTCAGCACACTCTTTATAACAATCCTGGCCCTTAATAGGAAGCTTATGATATAGAACTGACTTAGTATCATTTCAAGAAAAATATAATCAAACTACAGGCAGAGCCTATATTAATCTTCTCCCTATTAGTTCTAAGTCTAAGCACAAAAATAAGCTTTAAAAATAAACGCAGTACAGTCAAACCTACCCGGTATTTTCAGAGACCATCTTTTGGAAAGCCCATAAAGTGCTTTCCTAAATCAGCTGGTCTCTTCATACAAGTAAAGTTAATATGAAATATCTGCAATGAGGTTTTTATAAAGAGTCCTTTTGACACAGATGATCTTGTTAATAAATATACAGGGGTTTTCTTGGGCAGGTTTGACTGTATTTCACAGTTTTTATGAAAAATCAGGTAATGAAATTATTTTGGCTCATGAAAGTCAAGACACTGCAGAAACAAGTAAGTATTGGTAGAATGGTTATAGGATAAAGAGCCATTATAATGTCAGAAAAAGTTACTATGAAAAAAAGATTATTTTATAACATGAAACTTTTTGGAGTGTATTTAGGTTTAGTGTGTTTTCATGGCTACAGTTGAACTGCAAATATATGGACCTACAACTAATTAGAATTAACTAAAAACATGATGACGCAGATTGTTCAAAATAATAACAGAAAATGCTCCTGAATATTTTGTGTTTGACACGTATTGTCATGGGTCCTAACTTCAATATGAGCTGAAAAATGACTCTTTACCTGACATGGCCTTCACTGATGAGCTTTCCAATTTTCCGTTTGGACACCACGGCATAGTTAAGATTGAGTCGACCATACTCCCACTGTACAGGACAGTAGGCATCCACTATGTTACACAGCCAGTAATATGATGACCGCCTAAAATAATAACATCCAATATATACTTCTCTACAGAAAGACAGGATTATCTCCCTTAGCATGGAGAATTCAAAGACAGATGAAGGGCTTTTACAATCTATTTTAACAAATCACACATAAATAAAAAATCAGAAACAAATCAAAATTTCTCCACATATCTGAATTGCAAGCTTGTTAAGGGTTGTAAGATATACAGCGTATTTAGTTTTAAACATTGAAAACGTTAATTGAAGTGAATCATTTGCATTTCAGAAGTTTACAAACCTTGACTGGAACTCCTTGGTACAGAGCGAGTGTGTGATGTTCTCCAGAGAATCACACAAACAGTGTGTGAAGTCGTAGGTAGGGTAGATACACCTATAACATACAAGTAGTCAGACAGTGTGTGAAGTCGTAGGGCGGGTAGATACACCTATAACATACAACAAGTAGTAAGACAGTGTGTGAAGTCGTGGGTAGGGTCGATACACCTATAACATACAACAAGTAGTAAGACAGTGTGTGAAGTCGTGGGTAGGGTCGATACACCTATAACATACAACAAGTAGTAAGACAGTGTGTGAAGTCGTGAATAGGGTAGATACACCTATAACAAACAACAAGTAGTCAGACCGTGTGTGAAGTCGTGGGTAGGGTCGATACACCTATAACATACAACAAGTAGTAAGACAGGGTGTGAAGTCGTGGGTAGGGTAGATACACCTATTACATCCAACAAGTAGTCAGACAGTGTGTGAAGTCATAGGTAGGGTAGATACACCTATAACAGACACCAAGTAGTCAGACAGTGTGTGAAGTCGTGGGTAGGATAGATACACCTATAACATACAACAAGTAGTCCGACAGTGTGTGAAGTCGTAGGTAGGGTAGATTCACCTATAACATACAACAAGTAGTCAGACAGTGTGTGGAGTCATAGGTAGGGTAGATACACCTATAACAAACAACAAGTAGTCAGACCGTGTGTGAAGTCGTGGGTAGGGTCGATACACCTATAACATACAACAAGTAGTAAGACAGTGTGTGAAGTCGTGGGTAGGGTCGATACACCTATAACATACAACAAGTAGTAAGACAGTGTGTGAAGTCGTGGGTAGGGTCGATACACCTATAACATACAACAAGTAGTAAGACAGTGTGTGAAGTCGTGAATAGGGTAGATACACCTATAACAAACAACAAGTAGTCAGACAGTGTGTGAAGTCGTGGGGAGAGTAGATACACCTATAACATACAACAAGTAGTAAGACAGGGTGTGAAGTCGTGGGTAGGGTAGATACACCTATTACATCCAACAAGTAGTCAGACAGTGTGTGAAGTCGTGGGTAGAGTAGATACGCCTATAACATACAACAAGTAGTCGGACAGTGTGTGAAGTCATAGGTAGGGTAGATACAGCTATAACATACAACAAGTAGTCAGTGTGTGAAGTCGGAGGTAGGGTAGATACACCTATAACATACAAGTAGTCAGACAGTGTGTGAAGTCGTAGGGCGGGTAGATACACCTATAACATACAACAAGTAGTAAGACAGGGTGTGAAGTCGTGGGTAGGGTAGATACACCTATTACATCCAACAAGTAGTCAGACAGTGTGTGAAGTCGTGGGTAGAGTAGATACGCCTATAACATACAACAAGTAGTCGGACAGTGTGTGAAGTCGTGGGTAGAGTAGATACACCTATAACATACAACAAGCAGTCAGTGTGTGAAGTCGTAGGTAGGGTAGATACACCTAGTACATACAACAAGTAGTCAGACAGTGTGTGAAGTCGTGGGTAGAGTAGATACACCTATAACATACAACAAGTAGTCGGACAGTGTGTGAAGTCGTAGGTAGGGTAGATACACCTATAACATACAAAAAGTAGTCAGACAGTGTGTGAAGTCGTAGGTAGGGTAGAAACACCTATAACATACAACAAGAAGTCAGACAGTGGGAAACACATTGTAAATACCAGATTTAGTATTGAAAGGATGGGAGAAAAAATCCATCTCTAACAGAAAGGTTATAACAGAGAAATGTCTGTCCTCATAGTCACTCCTCAGGGTGATCATCTTGACTGCCTGAAGCCTGCCTCGAGTTAGACAATCAAGAATATCACTCTCCGATGTTGAGATTTTTCTGTCATACCTTCACAGTAGGGGAAGACTCTCCCATCATTCACTTCTCTTATTTGTTCATTGGGATATAAGAGAGTAAAGGAGTGGGGGAGGGAAAATTCATTAGCCAGAAGCTAGACAAACTTGTCATGTAAGGTGGACACTTACCACTTGTCGCCAGTTCTGTGGTGAGGTGTGAACTTGATCCTGTAGGCCACAGGGTCCTTCTTTCCCTCTTCCAATATGTGCTTCATCCTCAGAGTTGCCTCCCCTTCTGCAATTTTGCCGGCCTTCATATCCTATATGTGAGAGGTAATATCATGTGTCAAACATTTACTCAAGTCCTGTCATGAAACTTCTAATTCATGTTCAACCCCTTTGCAATGTTTTTAACATCATCGTTTTGAAGCTTAAGTCCCCTTTTGTGAGGTTGTATTACCTGGTAATCAGTCTAGATTGAAATATTTTTATAATAAAGCATAATGACCACGATAATCATATTGTGTTCTTTATATCCAGCTTTTGTTTTAACATACAACTAAAATACTACCAGTGGTTGGACAAAGAATTTGTATGAAATAGCTGCATGTTCATTTCATTATATTTTTATCTGTAATTAGGGATGAAGCTTTACTTTCTACAGTGAAGATTTTTTTAACTTTGTTTACTTTTCTTTATTGAATTATTACAATTTATAAAGATACATAACTGGTATGTTAGCATGGGACTCTTTGGAAATAGAGGGTTATTTAGTATAAGGGTTGTGTATCTTTAAGCAAGTTGATAAACAATAATATTCAATGTACATTTCCAACAGTTACTCACCTCAAACAAACGTAGGGACTCTTCCTTTGATCGATTCCTCCAGGGAGAGTCAGGGGGGTTGAACCCCTTAATATCATCTGATTTCATATGACACACATAAGCAAAGCCTTTCTTTATGAGTACAACGGCAAAGTCATATAACTCTTGGAAGTAGTCGGAGGCGTGCGTGACCTTGAAGGGCTGATATCCTGTTAACACCAAGTTAACAATATTTCCACATCATGGACCAAAACACATCAATTATACGTTTTTATCTTTTTTGTCTGTATCAATATTTCCAAATTATGGCCCAAAACACATCAATTATTCGTTTTTATCTTTTTTGTCTGAATCAATATTTCCACATTATGGAGCAAAACACATCAATTATTCGTTTTGATCTTTTTTGTCTTTATCAACATTTCCACATTATGGAACAAAACACATCAATTATTCGTTTTTATCTTTTTTGTCTGTAACAACATTTCCACATTATGGGCCAAAACACATCAATTATACGTTTTTATCTTTTTTGTCTGCATCAACATTTCTACATCATGGACCAAAACACATCAATTATTGGGAAAAAATACGTTTTTATTTCTGTTGTCTGTATCATCAGAATTTCAAGTTGCCACTATTCGAAAATGATGTGAATGTAGATTGTTTAGATTGTAGTGTAGACATTTTTTTGTGAGAACCTGAATGGCATGGTGTTAGAACCTGTCTTGGACTATTGCATTACTACCTGTAGTTGGTTTTATTCCCCTCAGTTTAAAAAGTGAAGAAAACTAACATAAATTCACATACATGTACATGCTCAACAGCAAATCCAAAAGAATTTTTCAAATCGTCTCTATAAACACTGTTAAAATGAGAGACAAAGTTCTAGACTTGCTACAAATTTGTATGCTATGCAGCTCCTAGTTCTGCTCAAACCTACCTAGCCACTGAACCATATCCAATATGGCTGTAAAAAATTTCTCCTCCTCCTTCTCCGGATTCGTGTCATCATACCGCAGATATGTGAAGCCACCCATGGCCTGTAATAGCCAAGAGGACAGATTTTAAACCACTTATATTTGATTTATTTCTCTTCAGTTTCTCCATTTTTCATATTAAAAGTACATTTAACTTTATATGGTCTAAAATGAACAAGAAACAAAGGTTCAACACAAGCAAAAACAATGGTATACCTTGGCAAATCCGAAATTAAAGTTGATGGCTTTTGCATGTCCAATATGGAGAATTCCATTTGGCTCTGGTGGGAATCTTGAATGGACCTAGAACAGAAAATAGGAATCGCTCCATTTTATTGTCTTACATGTACACAGAAATATATCTCAAGTCTGTACTGTCGAAAAGGTGACAATGTCTTTATATAACCATTTTGGTTTATTTATGAAATAATGTCCAAAAATAAAGTAAGAAATGTTGTACATATCATTTATTCAGGAGTAACTACACATACAATGTAACATATCTACTATACTTGTTCAGCATTCTTATGGGAAGAACCTGTATAACTGGAGTTACTGAGGATATATACTGGGAAGGACCTGTATAACAAGAGTTACTGAGGATATATACTGGGAAGGACCGGTATAACAAGAGTTACTGAGGATATATACTGGGAAGAATCTGTATAACAAGAGTTACTGAGGCTATATACTGGGAAGGACCTGTATAACAAGAGTTACTGAGGATATATACTGGGAAGAATCTGTATAACAAGAGTTACTGAGGATATATACTGGGAAGAATCTGTATAACAAGAGTTACTGAGGATATATACTGGGAAGAATCTGTATAACAAGAGTTACTGAGGATATATACTGGGAAGAATCTGTATAACAAGAGTTACTGAGGATATATACTGGGAAGAATCTGTATAACAAGAGTTACTGAGGATATATACTGGGAAGAATCTGTATAACAAGAGTTACTGAGGATATATACTGGGAAGAATCTGTATAACAAGAGTTACTGAGGATATATACTGGGAAGAATCTGTATAACAAGAGTTACTGAGGATATATACTGGGAAGAATCTGTATAACAAGAGTTACTGAGGATATATACTGGGAAGGACCTGTATAACAAGAGTTACTGAGGATATATACTGGGAAGGACCTGTAAAACAAGAGTTACTGAGGATATATACTGGGAAGGACCTGTATAACAAGAGTTACTGAGGCTATATACTGGGAAGAATCTGTATAACAGGAGTTACAGAGGCTATATACTGGGAAGAATCTGTATAACAAGAGTTACTGAGGATATATACTGGGAAGAATCTGTATAACAAGAGTTACTGAGGATATATACTGATGGTGAATGGCTGTTATGTACCTTTCCTTTGACAGCCTCCACATGTTTTTTCAGGCGCTCCATAGTATGTTCATTGATCACATATCCGTCAGTTTTGTAATTCTCACCTGTCACAATGAAAATATATATTAATTCTCACCTGTCACAGTGAAATCATGTATTAATTCTCACCTGTCACAATGAAATCATATATTAATTCTCACCTATCACAATGAAATAATCTATCAATTCTCACCTATCAGTGAAATCATATATTAATTCTTACCTGTCACAGTGAAATCATGTATTAATTCTCACCTGTCACAGTGAAATCATATATTAATTCTCACCTGTCACAGTGAAATCATATAATAATTCTCACTTATCACAGTGAAATCATATATCCATTCTCACCTGTCACAATGAAATCATATATTAATTCTCACCTGATTCAGTGGAATCATATATCCATTCTCACCTATCACAATGAAATCATATATGAATTCTCATCTGTCACAATGAATCATATATGAATTCTCATCTGTCACAATGAATCATATATGAATTCTCACCTGTCACAATGAAGTCATATATTAATTCTCACCTGATTCAGTGAAATCATATATCCATTCTCACCTGTCACAGGGAAATCATATATTAATTCTCACCTGTCACAATGAAATCATATATGAATTCTCATCTGTCACAATGAATCATATATTAATTCTCACCTGTCACAGTTAAATCATATATGAATTCTCACCTGTCACAATGAATCATATATGAATTCTCACCTGTCACAATTAATCATATATTAATTCTCACCTGATTCAGTGAAATCATATATGAATTCTCACCTGTCACAATGAATCATATATGAATTCTCACCTGTCACAATGAATCATATATTAATCCTCACCTGTCACATTGAAATCATATATGAATTCTCACCTGTCACAATGAATCATATATGAATTCTCACCTGTCACAATGAATCATATATTAATTCTCACCTGTCAGTCAAATTATATAGTAATTCTCACCTGTCAGAGTGAAATCATATATCAACTTTCATCTGCCACAGTGAAATTATATAAGGGTGTCTACATAGATGACAACAGAGGTAAGATCATTTTAAAAACTTATATAAACAACTAAAATAACATTACAGGCTAGCATTACAAATTGGATCACACATAGATATAAAATAATCTGAGATATAATGAGGGAGTGCATGTTGATGTCAGATAAAAAATATACTGAAAGTGACGAATGAACAAAGTCGAAACTTCATATGATGCGAGTGTATCGCTACAAAAAAATAAAACAGAAGAGAAACAAACACTGAAGTAACACATACATTGACATGAGGTAACGACGTACCAACTTTGTGGAAGTAAACACTGAAGTAACACATACATTGACATGAGGTAACGACGTACCAACTTTGTGGAAGTAAACACTGAAGTAACACATACATTGACATGAGGTAACGACGTACCAACTTTGTGGAAGTAAACACTGAAGTAACACATACATTGACATGAGGTAACGACGTACCAACTTTGTGGAAGTAAACACTGAAGTAACACATACATTGACATGAGGTAACGACGTACCAACTTTGTGGAAGTAAACACTGAAGTAACACATACATTGACATGAGGTAACGACGTACCAACTTTGTGGAAGTAAACACTGAAGTAACACATACATTGACATGAGGTAACGACGTACCAACTTTGTGGAAGTAAACACTGAAGTAACACATACATTGACATGAGGTAACGACGTACCAACTTTGTGGAAGTAAACACTGAAGTAACACATACATTGACATGAGGTAACGACGTACCAACTTTGTGGAAGTAAACACTGAAGTAACACATACATTGACATGAGGTAACGACGTACCAACTTTGTGGAAGTAAACACTGAAGTAACACATACATTGACATGAGGTAACGACGTACCAACTTTGTGGAAGTAAACACTGAAGTAACACATACATTGACATGAGGTAACGACGTACCAACTTTGTGGAAGTAAACACTGAAGTAACACATACATTGACATGAGGTAACGACGTACCAACTTTGTGGAAGTAAACACTGAAGTAACACATACATTGACATGAGGTAACGACGTACCAACTTTGTGGAAGTAAACACTGAAGTAACACATACATTGACATGAGGTAACGACGTACCAACTTTGTGGAAGTAAACACTGAAGTAACACATACATTGACATGAGGTAACGACGTACCAACTTTGTGGAAGTAAACACTGAAGTAACACATACATTGACATGAGGTAACGACGTACCAACTTTGTGGAAGTAAACACTGAAGTAACACATACATTGACATGAGGTAACGACGTACCAACTTTGTGGAAGTAAACACTGAAGTAACACATACATTGACATGAGGTAACGACGTACCAACTTTGTGGAAGTAAACACTGAAGTAACACATACATTGACATGAGGTAACGACGTACCAACTTTGTGGAAGTAAACACTGAAGTAACACATACATTGACATGAGGTAACGACGTACCAACTTTGTGGAAGTAAACACTGAAGTAACACATACATTGACATGAGGTAACGACGTACCAACTTTGTGGAAGTAAACACTGAAGTAACACATACATTGACATGAGGTAACGACGTACCAACTTTGTGGAAGTAAACACTGAAGTAACACATACATTGACATGAGGTAACGACGTACCAACTTTGTGGAAGTAAACACTGAAGTAACACATACATTGACATGAGGTAACGACGTACCAACTTTGTGGAAGTAAACACTGAAGTAACACATACATTGACATGAGGTAACGACGTACCAACTTTGTGGAAGTAAACACTGAAGTAACACATACATTGACATGAGGTAACGACGTACCAACTTTGTGGAAGTAAACACTGAAGTAACACATACATTGACATGAGGTAACGACGTACCAACTTTGTGGAAGTAAACACTGAAGTAACACATACATTGACATGAGGTAACGACGTACCAACTTTGTGGAAGTAAACACTGAAGTAACACATACATTGACATGAGGTAACGACGTACCAACTTTGTGGAAGTAAACACTGAAGTAACACATACATTGACATGAGGTAACGACATACCAACTTTGTGGAAGTAAACACTGAAGTAACACATACATTGACATGAGGTAACGACGTATCAACTTTGTGGAAGTAAACACTGAAGTAACACATATACATTGACATGAGGTAACAACGTACCAACTTTGTGGAAGTAAACACTGAAGTAACACAAACACTGACATGAGGTAACAACATACCAACTTTGTGGAAGTGTACAGCTTCTCCAGCCACCTGCATAAAGCTCTTTATTGATCCGTCAGGGTTCAGGACTGAAACACAGCGCGAATAGTGCACACAGTTTTCAGTACATGTATCATCACATGTTAAATTAGAAAATTACTGATATTTCAGAACTATTAAATACGGACTGCTAAAGAATGCGATATAAAGAGCTCATTAAATATCAATATTTTCAACAAAAGAATTCTTTTTATCAAATATTTGATAAGTTTTGACCACGGCGACCTGAGAGGTAAAGGGATCTTGGTTTGTAGATGTCTTAGGGATTAAGATCAACACACGATATACAACATAGAGTGTTGAACTATTTGTTGTTATTTGTTTTCAAGTCTCTGTGGCTCTGACCTCAGAAGTGATAAAACATAGTTCTTCTAATTAAATTTTCTCTCATTTTTTTGGACAGGATCAGCAATTGCCAAACAACAGACTAGCTAGTAACTTACAACTTTCTGTCTGTGGTTCTTTAGACCGAGATTCATTCTGCTTGGTATTTTCAGCCTGAAAAATCATAAATGCATTATTTAAGCATTGAACTTGCAATATGAATGTCAACTAGGCAAAGGCAATTCTATGAAGTGCACTAGTGCTTTATGCTTGTCCAGTTGGCAGTTCAATACTTAAATTTACCATTTTAGTACCTGTTTATCTCATAGAAAATTCAATTACACTTATTCAGCAGTTGTTCAGATATTATTCTTATATGCTTCAGTAAATAGAACAGCCACATCTGTCTAGGGAGTGTTATGACGTCATAACAGTGAGGCTGTCAACAATCGGCTCGTGGCATTCATAGCCGTAATGAATGACATCTGAGTGCAGTAGGGTTATATTGTAACAATGCCATATGATGGTAAATGTAAAAGAATAGTTCAGCACCAGTATGGAAATTATGATCCCTATTATTAACGGTAAAACTAATTAATGTAATTTTTTGAAAGTTTTTTTCCATTTTCATATGACACCACTATTTGCTAATACATTTAGTCCACATTCATTACAAATAGATATAACATAGATGATGGCATTCCTAAGCTTATGTACCTTTTTCGTGACTGGTTTCTGTCTGTCCGCTTCTGTCTTGGGTCCCAGTAAGTGTAGCACCTGGTGAAGAAAACAAATGAAATTAATCTGGGATTAAATGCTGTCGAGTCTTAACGATTTAGCCACTTATGTTCCCAGCTACATGTACATAGCTGCGGGAATTGTAGCTTCTAGGCCCCATTGGTTTTTTTTGTGTGTGTAACAAACCATGGTACGATAACAATAAAAAAAAAAACATGATCGGGCCTAGAAGCTACGGTTCTCGCAGCTACCAGCTACAGTGACTGGACAAATATATTACTGAGACAATTTTTCAAAGAAATATTGAAAACTGTCTTCCCAAAAACACTAAGACATTATAGTGGTACATGTACATCCGATAATTACCACAATGAATGAGTAGTTGATTATTACCACAATGAATGAGTAGCTGATTATTACCACAATGAATGAGTGTTGATTATTACCACAATGAATGAGTAGCCGATAATTACCACAATGAATGAGTAGACGATTATTACCACAATGAGCCGATTATTACCACAATGAAGGAGTAGTTGATTATTACCACAATGAATGAGTAGCCGATTACTACCACAATGAATGAATAGTTGATTATTAACACAATGAATGAGTAGCAGATTATTACCACAATGAATGAGTAGCTGATTATTACCATAATGAATGAGTAGCCGATTATTACCACAATGAATGAGTAGCCGATTACTACCACAATGAATGAATAGTTGATTATTACCACAATGAATGAGTAGCTGATTATTACCACAATGAATGAGTAGCTGATTATTACCACAATGAATGAGTAGCTGATTATTACCACAATGAATGAGTAGCTGATTATTACCACAATGAATGAGTAGCTGATTATTACCACAATGAATGAGTAGCTGATTATTACCACAATGAATGAGTAGCTGATTATTACCACAATGAATGAGTAGCCGATTATTACCACAATGAATGAGTAGCTGATTATTACCACAATGAATGAGTAGCTGATTATTACCACAATGAATGAGTAGCCGATTATTACCACAATGAATGAGTAGCTGATTATTACCACAATGAATGAGTAGCCAATTATTACCACAATGAATGAATAGCCAATAATTACCACAATGAATGAGTAGTTGATTATTACCACAATGAATGAATAGCCAATAATTACCACAATGAATGAGTAGTTGATTATTACCATAATGAATGAGTAGCTGGTTATTACCACAATGAATGAGTAGCTGATTATTACCACAATGAATGGGTAGCTGATTATTACCAAAATGAATAAGTAGCTGATTAATTATTACCATAATGAATGAGTAGCCGACTATTACCACAATGAATGGGTAGCTGATTATTACCAAAATGAATAAGTAGCTGACTATTACCACAATGAATAAGAAGCTGATTATTACCACAAGGAATGAGTAGCTGATTATTAACACAATGAATGAGTAGTCGATTATTACCATAATGAATGAGTAGCCGACTATTACCACAATGAATGATGAATAGCCAATAATTTCCACAATGAATGAGTAGTTACCACAATGAATGAGTCGTTGATTATTACCACAATGAGCCGACTATTACCACAATGAATGAGTAGTCGATTATTACCATAATGAATGAGTAGCCGACTATTACCACAATGAATAAGTAGCTGATTAATTATTACCATAATGAATGAGTAGCAGATTATTACCGCAATGAATGGGTAGCTAATTATTACCACAATGAATTTACCACAATGAATGAATAGCAAATAATTACCACAATGAATGAATAGCTGATTATTACCACAATGAACGAATAGCCAATAATTACCAAAATGAATGAGTAGCCAATTATTCCCACAATGAATGAATAGCAGATTATTAACACAATGAATGAGTAGCCAATTATTCCCACAATGAATGAATAGCCGATTATTACCACACTGAATGAGTAGCAGATTATTACCGCAATGAATGGGTAGCTAATTATTACCACAATGAACGAATAGCCAATAATTACCAAAATGAATGAGTAGTTGATTATTGCCATAATGAATGAGTAGCCGACTATTACCACAATGAATAAGAAGCTGATTATTACCACAGTGAATGAATAGCCAATAATTACCAAAATGAATGAGTAGTTGATTATTTCCATAATGAATGAGTAGCCGATTATTACCACAATGGATGAGTAGCTGATTATTCCCACAATGAATGAGTAGACGATTATTACCACAATGAATTTACCACAATGAATGAATAGCAGATTATTAACACAATGAATGAGTAGCCTATTATTACCACAATGAATGAGTAGCCGATTATTACCACAATGAATAAGTAGCTGATTATTACCACAATGAATGAATAGCAGATTATTACCACAATGAATGAGTAGTTGATTATTACCACAGTGAATGAGTAGTTGATTATCACCACAATGAATGAGTAGCCTATTATTACCACAATGAATGAATAGCAGATTATTAACACAATGAATGAGTAGCCGACTATTACCACAATGAATGAGTCGCCGATTATTACCACAATGAATTTACCACAATGAATGAGTAACTGATTATTACCAAAATGAATGAGTAGCCAATTATTACCACGATGAATGAGTGTTGATTATTACCACAGTGAATGAGTAGTTGATTATCACCACAATGAATGAGTAGTACACTTATAAATGAGTAGCTGATTATTACGACAATGAATGAGTAGTTGATTATTACCACAATGAATGAGTAGTTGCTTATTACCACAATGAATGAGTAACTGATTATTACCACAATGAATGAGTAGCCAATTATTACCACAATGAATGAGTAGCTGATTATTACCACAATGAATGAGTAGACGATTACTACCACAATGAATGAGTAGACGATTACTACCACAATGAATGAGTAGACGATTACGACCACAATGAATGAGTAGACGATTACTACCACAATGAATGAGTAGACGATTACGACCACAATGAATGAGTAGACGATTACTACCACAATGAATGAGTAGACGATTACGACCACAATGAATGAGTAGACGATTACTACCACAATGAATGAGTAGCCGATTATTACCACAAAGACAATGGAGCTAGACCAACTCTACTTGACCTTTCCTTTTTAAAGAACTAGTTAGCAGACACATTCTGACACCAAAATGTATTTTTCGCTATGATTGAACATATATATATAGTCAATTATGCCATGTAACTGTTTAAAATAACTACTTCCACAGTGCAATCATTTCCATTGAGTATGATGAAGGGGGAAAATTCTCCCAATAAAATACAATCGCTTGCCTTTTAGGAACAGTTTAGTTGGTAAGGTATAACCACATTCTTTTATCTTTTACCTGCATATCCACTTCATTTTTAATCATTTTTCCATCAGCAAACTTTAGTTTATTCCTTGCCTCACCTGAAAGAACATAATAACTGTTTTTGAATAAGCATATAATACTATACATGTGTTCAGCTGATGTAACAGAGCAAATGAGTGCATTGTACAAATGGATATATTTAACAATGTCTTCAGCCAAGTGAAAATGTATGTACAGTTGTGGGATCGCACAACGTTACACGATGTGTGGTGTGCGCACGATGTGTAAACGATGTGTGCTCGAAGTGCGAACGATAAAAAATTGGACGATCATTGCTTGCGCACATTTGTGCGGACGATCGACGAACGCTGTGCGATAACAATCGCGGTTGGTGTAAATTGAGGAATGGCTTAACAATAAATACGGTTTCGTGTTTATACATATAAACTTGATTTTTTATTATGTTTCTATATTCAAGCTACATCTATAAGTTTATCTTTATGTCTTTACTTTCTTAAATTAGGAAATGGTGATTTCGGTGTTTTTAAAGGACCTTAATTGACATATGTAAAATTACAACACAGTCTCTACAACACAGGTAAACATAGCCACTTTAAACCTGGATGATGGACTGTAGTTTTCCCCCCGCTCGGGGCACTTACGTAACTCGCCAAGGTGTGAAAACCAGGTTAAGGGGAGCTATAGACCAAATGCAATGCGAATGCAAATAACAAATATTAATCGTCCAGTTGTGTTTTCATAACGGTCATACGGTATCACATATCAGCTCTATGTGTCAGACAAAGGCCAGGTAAAACTCCGGTCACTCATCAAATTGTTATTTACCTGTTCTGTTACCGAGGAGCCAAACCAATTTCTTGACAGTTTAATGTTCACTGTATACTGTGTTACAAGCATTGTAAAATTGTACATAATCTAAATTATAGAGATGAGAGAATTACAGTAATATATATACAGTGTACATTATTGCATATGAGCCTTCCATATTTTTTTCATTCCGTAATATTGATCAACAAATTGTACCAAATCGCACAGTTGTGCGGAGAGAAGCGCACAACGGGACGAACGATTGTTAAATCACACAGTTGTGCGCACCATGTGTGGACGATGTGCGGACGGTGTGTGAACGATGTATGCACAGTGTTTTTGGTGCGTTTTGCGGTCACACAACTGTATCTATCTATTCGCACAGTAGATGATTACAATCTGAGACAATCTAATTAAAATCACTCCCATTTACCGACTTCCATGCAACATATCAGTTAACGGAAGCCATGTGAAGATATAATTTTAATTAGATTGAATCTAACATGTCAGATGAATATATGTGTGGCAGGGAAAACCCTGGACTTTGAGAGCAGTGGGCCATTTCAGCAATTTTTAGTCAATATCAAAATTTAGAGGGGCCATTCTATGTAAAATTAAAAGAAAATTAGAAAATGGAGGGATCAATTTCAGTTTTGAGGGGTCAATGGCCCCATGGCCCACTCCAGGATTATCCCTGGTGTAGTAATGGTTTTATAATATCAATAGAATTGTTTTTCATATGCTTACCGGTATTACATTGTATTCATAGCATCTCATCATCACTCTACGACTATGTTCAATTTGCTTCCCGAAAAATTTAACTGGACAATTCAACTATGGCAGACAAAATGCCATTGAGGATGGAATAATGATGTCCTGTAACCTTAGCATACAGTGGTGCTAACATTTCCAGAACCCATTCTTGTCTCAATTCGTCACTTTGATCAGTGGATAATAACCGATGAGTTCCAGCCCGAAAGGACTTCTTCTACTGTAGTACACTAGTGTAGTACGTATACTAGACATGCTGGTGTATAACTTAATACAACATCTTGTACTATCACACAGACTGGCCACCAGCCCTCAAGTTTTTATGAAGAATTTCTCGACTGCATTTTACTACTAGCTTATTTGGTCCCTAGTCTAGAATCAGACATCCAAGTGATCAAAACTATTAGAGTTATTTTTTTCCCATGATAATTCAATATTCTAGAGACGGGGGCCAGTTTAACTATCACAGAGTGACATACCGGACCTTGTGTTGAGTGGCCTAAAAACTGGCTGTATCACAATAGTAGGATTCATCAGATGTGTTGTAAATATATACATATTTGAGACAAACTGAAGCTATGATGATTGCCAGTCTTTGTCTAAAGATCCCAGGTGTGATCTTTTACACACAAACTCCACTAATATGGATGTATTTACTTAATCTGATGCACTTATGGACTTTCATACACAATTCTAGCGCATATATTTGAAGATGACAAGAGAAAGGTCCAGACCCTAGCTACTGATTATGGTGTGTACACATGCTTATACTACAAACAATGGACTCTAAAATTAATTTAAGTAAGTGCCTGTTGCACATTAAGTTCAAAAAAGTGTTTTCACGAAAAATAAATTGGCACTATTATATAGATATATAAACTCTTCAAATCTTTGTGGAATATAAAAAGATAATTCCACACTCATACCTTGATTATGAATCAAGAAGACCAGACACTACACATAGGACCAGTCTATCCAAAAGATGTTTTATGTAGATTTACTTACCCATCAAAATCCCAGCGCTGAAGTTGTAACGTTTTTCTAGAAGTTCTTTTTTGTATTTCTCCATTACTTCTTCCACCTGAAGGGATAAAGAGACATGGATCACTACCTTATTCAACACATTGAATATTTAAGGATGCTGAAATAAATACTTCTCTCAAACTGTCAAAATACTGCTAGTTTTTCCATTGTTTTAAATGGGAAAATGACCCAGGGTATGACCATCGCAGAACTGATGTCTTTTTCAGTAAAACCTTCAAAAAATGAAAGAATGTATACTATTTTATTTTTACTATAAGGGAAACTTATACTTTGTTATAACGTGCCTGAATAATACCTGTGAGAATTTGTAATTCACTTACTTTTTATAGATATACCATCAGAATAAATTCCCAAAAAAATATTTCACAAATTACAAGGATTAATCCACACTTGGTATACATACTGCCTCTTCCACCTGTTCAGGTGTGATAGCCACGCCCACTCCACTCTCCTGTTCTAGACGTGTGGTATCCACAGGGGGCAAAGGATTGTGTAACAAGTAGTCCATGGCAGCTAGCAAAGTGAGAATTATCATTTAAAAATAGATTAAGTAAGTGCAGTTTAGGAAGTTACTTTTTTAATGCCTCCCCCTCAATCAAGGTACATGTTAAACATTTTCATTTCATTAGAATATTTTACAATTAGGTCATTTGGCTTTGGGAAAATCAGCACAACTAATACAGTGTAACTAAATTACCTGATGTTACCATGCATACCTATAGTTATTGATCGATGTTGTCATACCTAAGCATTACTTGTATTGCCATAATTAGGTATTTTTCAAATACATTACAAGTAGCTATTTGAAATTAACCTATTCTAACTTGTAAGCAAAGCTATAGGTCACTCTGATATAATGGACCTGAAAAAACTATTACTTATACCATTGAGCTGAAGTTCAGTGGTGATTTTTTTCGTGGCGATGTAATCGACAAGGAGCCCCTGGTGGGACTGGATCTGTTTCTTGAGACGAGTTGCCACATTGTAGAGCAGCTTGCCGACATCCTTGTCCACAGATGACAACCCACACCTTTTTGCCTGAGAAAAAAACCTGTTGGTGTTAGTCACACAAGTTCATGTAAATAAAAATGATTAAATTAAGTCTAAACCAGTACTGATTGAAATAGAGGCCGTTACAAAAGTCCCCAAAACTACCACATGCAGTTGGATAGGATACTACTGGAAGTTAGAGTGGTTTTCACAGTACCAGCAGTCAACTGGACAACAACACAGTATGAGTGCAAGGAATACAGGCATTTAAAACATTAATCTGTACTAACTGGGACTAAACAAAAGTTAAGCATGCATCGCATGCGTACATAACCCCCTCTGCATTAAAACCATTCTGGTCTCCGAGGAGTATAAATATATCATCTGAGGACTGTGTTTTGCTACAACTCTGTGCCCTGATGTTTAAATAGTTTTTGAAATCATTGTTTTTTGGGAAGTGAAATTAAACACTTAGCTAACATCTGTGTGTGGACACTTAGCTAACATCTGTGTGTGGACACTTAGGTAACATCTGTGTGTGGACACTTAGCTAACAGCTGTGTGTGTGTGGACACTTAGCTAACCTCTGAGTGTGTGTGGACACTTAGCTAACATCTGCGTGTGGACACTTAGCTAACATCTGTGTGCGTGTGGACACTTAGCTAACATCTGTGTGCGTGTGGACACTTAGCTAACATCTGTGCGTGGACACTTAGCTAACATCTGTGTGTGAACACTTAGCTAACATCTGTGTGTGGACCCTTAGCTAACATCTGTGTGTGGACACTTAGCTCACATCTGTGTGTGGACACTTAGCTAACAGCTGTGTGTGTGTGGACACTTAGCTAACATCTGTGCGTGGACACTTAGCTAACATGTTGACACTTAGATAACAACTGTGTGTGGACACTTAGCTAACAAATGTGTGTGGACACTTAGCTAACAACTGTTTGTGGACACTTAGCTAACATCTGTGTGGGGACACTTAGCTAACATCTGGACACTTAGCTAACATCTGTGGGTGGACCCTTAGCTAACATCTGTGTGTGGACACTTAGGTAACATGTTGACACTTAGCTAACAACTGTGTGTGTACACTTAGCTAACATCTGTGTGTGGACCCTTAGCTAACATCTGTGTGTGGACACTCAGCTAACATCTGTGTGTGGACACTTAGTTAACATCTGTGTGTGGACACTTAACTAACATCTGTGTGTGGACACTTAGCTCACATCTGTGTGTGGACACTTAGCTAACATATGTGTGTGGACACTTAGCTAACATCTGTGGGTGGACCCTTAGCTAACATCTGTGTGTGGACACTCAGCTAACATCTGTGTGTGGACACTTAGTTAACATCTGTGTGTGGACACTTAACTAACATCTGTGTGTGGACACTTAGCTCACATCTGTGTGTGGACACTTAGCTAACATATGTGTGTGGACACTTAGCTAACATCTGCGTGTGGACACTTAGCTAACATCTGTGTGTGGACACTTAGCTAACATGTTGACACTTAGCTAACAACTGTGTGTGGACACTTAGCTAACAACTGTGTGTGGACACTTAGCTAACAACTGTGTGTGGACACTTAGCTAACATCTGTGTGTGGACACTTAGCTAACATCTGCGAGAATGTATAAGAAAATGAAGCATTAACAAGTAAATAAACACTATTTTATTCAAAAACATGCAGAATAGTAGTTTTTATGCTACAATTTGTAATACCTTTTTAATGGATTAAAAAACAATAAATGGTAAAAAAAAATGATACTTATATATATATGCAACATTTAATAATTGTTCTGCTTAACAAAAGCATATGACTACTGTAATTTGCTGTCGTATGTCTGGTTATTCTACATTCAGCAGCCAAAAGTATGGTGCCTATGCGTTTTTCTGTGAATTTCCTTCTTTATTGTAATGCAAAACATTTTGTTGATTCTTTAGCGGAACTGGACTGGGTCGATCATCAGCGACTAGGTAGCTCAACTGGTAGAGTGTCTGTCTAGAGTTTGGATGGTCCCTGGTTCCAACCCCGGTCTGGTCATTACATGTTCTCTTTCTCCTGTTATGAAATTGGTGAGCTTGCCAACCCTTGTTTAAAGCATTTGGTTAAGGTTTGGCAAGGGGATACCCAAACCTCGGTTGAAACTAAGTGTGTGTTTTGGGGCGAATACTTAGAAAAAGGATTGAGGAATGTACCAGAAGTGGGCTGGGTCGATCAGCGACAAGGTAGCTCAATTGGTAGAGCATCCGTATAGAGTTCAGAGGCCCTGGGTTTGAGCCCTGGTCTGGCCGTTACATTTAATCTTCCCCTTTTAGAATTAAAAAATCGAGCAGATACAAACATCAAAATGATACTCTTAGAACTATCTTTCCGACTGTAGCATTATCACAGTATAAATAATGTGTGAGCTAAATCGACGGGCACAGAAACTGGTAACAAAATGTTGTTGTTCGATGACAATGACAGGATTGCATTAGTTGTCAATGTAGAGTAAGGTAAGTCATTGCAAACCGACATCTCAGTTAAAATAAAAAATAAAAACATTGTTGATAATCAATATAAAGCAAATTGCTGTTAGTTTTGTTCGTTTTCGTTTGTTCAGCAAATTTCACCTTAAACGCTCAGAAACTGATCACTTGAAGCACAGGGATTCGTTACAAATTTCTGAAATACATATATGCTACAACGAACCCCTGTGCTTGAAATTGTAGATAGACGTTTTACCAGTTGTAACGGAAAGCTGTCTGTACATTTAGCTTGCTGTTACGTCATTTTTGAAATATTCTTACATTAAAGAGCGTGGATTGGCCACATTAAAGACTAGAATAAATGTATTGGGATGTAAACAATATGTCAAATCACTACACATGATTGCATCATGGATCAAATCCGACTTTCGTTTTGACAATTACCAAGTTTAGGCATGGTGAATTAAGCCTACAAACTAAAGGAAAAGTTAATAAATACAAACCTGTTCTATTGCAAGTTTCAAAAGCTGTGATACGTGTTCATTCTTAATGGTTTCCTTTGCTTTCTGCTCACTGAGACCGATGCCGGTAAACAGTGAAACGTCGATGGCAGCCATAGTTCTGGAGCAACGTGCTTCCTTTTCGACACGCATGCGCAGTACTGATGTCGATGAACTCTTTTTATAGGGTTATCTTTCTTTGTACGTTTCGCTTTCAGCTACTGTACACATATTGCATCATATACCATCAGAGACATAACATTACTGTACTCTTTCATCTTGTTGACAATTTCTTATTTCATGTTAAAACTGGGCTTGAATCACTTTGTTGTAGACGAAAAAAATCATAAACTAGTACATGATGAATCGCCGAAGTGATTAGCAGACATCATTGAACCATACCTTTACATCAATTTAAATGTAAGATATCCACTAAGAAATACAGCCCTATTTTCAATACCCAGATTTGTATAACTGAAAATTATTTCAAAAGTGTTTTCCGCAGTGTGTAGAAAATTTAACCTTCTATCTGCAGAAACTTTAAAATGCTACTTCCCTACAACAAATTAATTTTAAAATCTCTGAAAATGTTAACAACAAAAAAATAAATTTAAATACTATTTATAATTGGCCAAGAACATTTAATATCGTATGTCGACTAAATCATGCTGCAATCCCAATAGTGCAACACCTGCAGCATGTAGACGGGGACATGAAAATGAAAATGTATTTTATGTTGTATTTGAATGCTTATTAATTGTTTGTTAACATGCAAATAGTACAAAATATTTATCAATTTTGTATAACTGATAAACATGATAATCATAATATAAAACCTCTATCAAATGGGTGCATAATATACAGCACTGATACCAATAAATACATTTTACAAAATATATCTGACTATATTCGTGAAACTAACAGACTTGATATGTAATCTTACTCACAACCTATAGCTTTACATTGAAAGTTCTCTCTCTCTCTCTCTCTCTCTCTCTCTCTCTCTCTCTCTCTCTCTCTCTCTCTCTCTCTCTCTCTCTCTCATAAAGGCAATATATGTGTACATGTGTACCATTACATGTACTGGCGTCAAGTATATCAACTGATGAAAGTAAGAGTATATATGAGTCTTGTGAGGTATGAATATATATGAAATAATGTGTAATAATACCATGTATTGCAAAAAAATCTTGAATAAATAGAAAATTACAAAAAAAAAACAAAAAAAACCCAACTGGTGTATATACATTTTATATTTCTATCTTCACAACATCTCTGGGATTTTCCAAAAATCTTTGGATTTCTATAGCTCGCTTTCATCACATTGTCTGACGCAGCTAAAGCGTAAATAGTCATGTTCATGTTCTAGTTCTATATATATATATATAGTGAACGTTCTGAACCATGACCCCGATGCTCACCTATTCTGAGACNTACTGAACGCTGTGAGTGGTGTACTGTACGGCAGCCCTACCAAGCAGGCCCCTATCCCCCCATCTTCGACTCCGAAACCGACCTTTAGAGCCAAGGATGAAATCGAGTGTCATTATCAGTTTCACGACGAAACAAACCGTAAACTTGACTTTATACTCAGCAAAATGGAGAAGCTAGACAAGCTAGATACGATTGAAGAACATCTTTCTCGTTTAACTATCAGAGTAAATGAGGTTGAGAGACGTGTTTCAGATGCCGAACGGAAGTGTGGAGATTTCCAATCTACAGCTAATTTTGTATCGGACCAGTATGACGAACTCAGTGCCAATTCGGTTAGTTACCAGGAGTTGTCAGAGGCAGTAAAAGAACAGGAGTCAGTCATCAGTGGACTTTGTAGTGGTTTTGATACACTCAGACTGGACCGCGACAATATGAAACAGACTGTTCTAGATCTACAGTGCAGGTCTATGAAATACAACCTTGTTTTCACCGGACTTTCAGGGGAAAACCGCAATGAGGATACCTTGGCTCTCATCAGGGACTTCATATATATAGAACTTGGTATTCAACATAGGATTGACTTTGTCAACGTCCATAGGTTTGGTAGGCACATACGTGGCAAGCCCCGACCGATTGTTGCCAGATTCGTGTACAACCAAGATCTCCAACTGGTCAAAAGCAGGTCATTCCATCTGAAAGGGACCATGTTTGGCATTCATGAACAGTATCCGGTAGAAAAAGAGGAAAGAAAGAAAAGGTTGTATCCAGTCCGCAAACGTAGCAAACAAGCTGGGAACACCGCAAAACTGATCCGAGACAGGCTGTACATAGACGGTAGGCTATACGAGGAACAACCAGGGATCACCCACAGCGACCAGGCCAGTTATGTCAACAAACGCGCAAACCAGCATACCAGCAGATCAAGTGGATTTTCTACAGGATAGGCGGACACACGGTCCACCTCAGCATCTGACAGAGGACGTCAACAGCCTACTGCTGCTCCGCGTCAGAGATATTCACCACCAACCCAGCCTCGCGCGATGAACAGACCTGCCACTTCGGCGAATCCACAGTCCAACAACAGGGGCCCCCAGCGGCCTTGGGAGGATCATCGTGCATAGGATCACGCGGAGAGTGACGCGCAACCGTATACGGCTGAGCGAGACCTGTTGGTACTGTCGTGGAACATTGGTAAAGGCCTATTAGGAAAGCTCTGTAATAGAGACTTTCTAGATATTATCAACAATTATGACATTGTGTGTCTCAGTGAATGTTGGTTATCTGAGAAAGATGAATTTGAGTTAGATGGTTATTGTAAATATGTCTTCCCGAGGAAAACTGGTATCGGTGGGGATATTGTTATATTCTATAAAAACTGCTTAAAAAACAATATTTCGATAGTTGAAAATATTCACGATAGCATAATATGGTTAAAACTTGAAGGAAATTTAAGTTATAGCTACATTGTGTTTTGTTACTTTCCCCCCGAAAAAAGTGTTTTCTATGAAAATAACACAGAAGAAATAGATTTATTTCAAATTTTGCAAGATTCCATTATAAATTATAGATCAAATGGTAAAGTGTACATAACTGGAGATTTCAATGCCAGAACTGGTACCAGACCTGATATGATAATTAATGATGGCTTGGGTAAAGATGGTAATGTATTATTTGATGCTGTTGACTATCAATCTGATAGTGTGTATGATCTTACTGAGCGGAAAAGCATGGACAAATCTGTAAACTCTTTTGGAAGAAAGTTATTGTCTCTGTGCGAATCTACTAGTTTTAGGATATTGAACGAACGTCACTCAGGTGACCCGGATGGAAGTGTTACTTTCTTTAGTTCTATTGGTACAAGCCTTATAGATTACCTTTTAGTTGAGGGGGACAATTTTCAAAATGTAAAAGAATTTAAGTCTGGTAATTTTGTAACTATGTCTGATCACTCACCTTTATCTTTTAAATTGAGATTAGATATAAATTTTGATGAAGAATTACCTGGAAATCAAGCTCATGCTAGATGCGTTTGTGAAAATGTAAAGTGGAATGATGATAATGTAAACTCCATTAGACAGAATCTTAGTCAAAATATCAATGTATTAAGTGAACTCCTCGTTACACCTTTGTTAAACAAGTCAGATGTCGAATTATGTGTTGACAAACTTTGTTCTTTTCTAAATGAGATGTGTTTACCACTGTGTGATGTACATAGATGTAAGTCAACTATAACTGATAATGTCTCAAAGAAAAAAAGTATTCAGCATGAGGATAAACCCTGGTTTAATCTTCCATGTAAGCAGATATATAAGATATACAAAGATGCCTTACATACATTTAACAATTTTAAAACTGCTGATAATCATAGAATATTAATTGAGAAAAAAACTGATTATAAGAAATTTGAGTTAAGACTGAAGAGAGAATATCAGCGACAGGAGGGAGATATGATGGAGTATCTTAGAAAACACAACCCGAAACATTTTTATAAATACTTTTCGAAACGAAAATTTAAAGTTTCTAACAAAATTTCTCTTGACAAATTCTACAATCATTTTAAAGATTTAAGTTGTCAAGGTAATCCAGTTCACGAGATAGGCGAAACAACTTTAGATGAAAATAATATATCATGTGTATTTGAAGAACTCGACTCCCATATCACAGAAAAAGAAGTTATTTCTGCAATACATAAGTTAAGTAGAAATAAAAGTTGTGGTGAGGACAAAATGCTTAATGAACTTTTTATTGATTGCAATGATATACTTGTTCCATATTTAATCAAACTTTTTAATTATATTTTTCAATTAGGGATTTTCCCTGAAGCTTGGTCTACTGGGAGTATTACCCCCGTATATAAGAAAGGCGATATAGAAAATACAAATAATTACAGGGGCATTACTCTAGTCAGTTGCATGGGGAAGTTGTTTACCTCCATTTTGAATGAGCGACTAGTTAATTGGGATGTTAAAAATAATGTAATAACAGATGCTCAATTTGGTTTTAGACCCGGACATTCAACCGTTGATGCAATATTTGTACTTCAGACTTTAATTAATAGATATTTAAGTAAAAAAGGTGGTAGACTTTACTGTTGCTTTGTTGATTACAAGAAAGCTTTTGACTTAATCGACAGATCTCATATGTGGTGCAAATTGATTAAGCAGGGTGTTAGAGGGAAAATGTTACGTATAATTCAATCGTTGTATAGTTCAGTTAAGTCATGTGTAAAGCACAATGGTTTGTATTCAGATTTTTTTTCAAATACAATCGGTCTATTTCAGGGTGAAATTTTGTCACCCATTTTATACTCCATGTTCGTCAATGACTGTGAAATTCATTTTATAAAAGAAGGTTGTCCATCTATTGAAATTAATTTAATTAACATTTTTCTTTTAATGTATGCTGACGATACGGTGCTATTTGCAGAAACGCCAGAAAAGTTACAACATATTCTGGAAGCTATGAAATCATATAATAACAAGTACAAACTCAATTTAAACACTGAAAAGACGAAAATAGTAGTTTTCAGGAATGGTGGCGGGATACGAAACAACGAAAAATGGTTTTACGACACTAAAGAGCTCCAAGTCGTCGACCAGTTTAATTACTTAGGCATGCTCTTTAATTACAATGGTAAATTTTATGTCACTCAAAAGCATGTTGCAGATCAGGGTAATAAGGCATATTATGCGCTTTGTAATAAGTTCAAAAATCATAATTTTAATATCAAAACAC